AATATACTCTCATAACGTACTAGTTATTTGAAAATGCAGGTGCCTTCTCTAATTTGTGTTGGGCATCCTGGGAATTGGACATTCAAGCTTGATCTTCTCTGAAAAATGGCTTTTTGTTTGTTTTTGGTTAATACTCGAGGATATTTTTCCCACTGATTTTTATTTTATTTTTAAATATATATTTTTATTGATTTCAGAGAGGAAGGAAGAGGGAGAGTTAGAAACATCAGTGATGAGAGAGAATCATTGATTGGCTGCCTCCTGCACACTCCCTACTGAGGATTGAGCCCGCAACCCGGGATGTGCCCTTGACCAGAATTGAACCTGGAACCCTTCAGGTCACTGGCTGATAGATAACTCTATTCACAGAGCCAAACCAACTATGGCTCCCATTGATTTTTAGAGAGTGAAAGAGGAGGAGAGACATAGAAGAGACATTGATGTGAGAATGACACATTGATTGCCTCCTACGTGTGCTCCAACCGGCACCAGGAATTGAGCCTGCAACTGAGATATATGCCCTTGACAGGAATCGAGTTTGCGACCCTTCAGTCTGTGGGCCGATGCTCTATCCACTGAGCCAAACTGCCTAGGACTAGAAGATGGTTTTGAATATAAAGTCTTAAGGCCTGAGTGGTAGTTTAGGGAATTTGGTATCTACTGCTGCTTTACCAAGTTGGGGAGGAGATTAGGATGCTGCATTGCACTGGACTGTTCTTCGTAATTCTCTTCCTGTGTTCTCTTAGGTGATGACCCCACAAGCAAGAGGCACTGTTGCAGCTGCTGCAGCTGCTGCCACAGCTAGTATTGCAGGGGCCCCAACCCAGTACCCACCAGGCCGTGCAGGTCCTCCCCCACCTATGGGCCGAGGGGCACCCCCTCCAGGTAAGAAACCCATAAGGAGAGCATTGCTAATTACTAAAAGATGCCTGAGCTGGATTTATGATGAGACATACCTTGACCGAAACTGATGATGAGTTTTATAGTTAAGCAGGATTACTCTGAGATCCAGCCTGGCTGACAGACCATGGAACAAGAGCCATTGGGAGTTCCCTCCTCTTTGGCTCAAGTCCCAGTTTGCTAGGAGATGCTGGGACAGTGTAATGGTCTATCGTCTCAGAACTTGTTAGTTGTTAGACAGCTTTCTATGTTTTTTGTTTGTTTGTTTGTTTGTTTGTTTGTTTTAACCTTTGACAGACACTTGAGCTATCTTTTGGGGACTTTTATCTTTCAGGCATGATGGGCCCACCTCCTGGTATGAGGCCTCCCATGGGCCCCCCAATGGGGATCCCCCCTGGACGAGGAACTCCAATGGGCATGCCTCCTCCAGGAATGCGGCCCCCTCCACCAGGAATGCGAGGTAATGCTTACAGCAGTGACTTAGACTTCCTTCCCTAGAGCCATATTGGGATGGGGAGTGAAGGGAAGGTGAGATTGTGACCATTCCTCTGGGCTTTCAGGCCTCAGCCTAGTGAAGTGAACTCTTTCTTAAAGGACAACTTAATCCAGAAAGGAAAGAGGGAACACCATTTCTTTAATTGACCTAACTCCCTCTGCACCCAGGTACTTCTCAGTGTCCAAGGCAGTGTTCTTAGGGCACTATGAAATAATGCATTCTGAGGGCCCCCAATAAAGGTCATGGAATTAATCACCTTTGGTTTGGTAGTGATTAGTAATTAAGAAAGGGCTCTGGGCTTTGCTATATACTATTTAGTATGTATATCTTTAACTCCAGTTTGAGAAATGGTGACATAGATCGCCCTCATCCTCTGGTAAGAAAACAGGCTCGAAAAAAGTTCAGTGTCTAGAAGCTCACACCAGTGTTCTTTTCACCAAGCCAGAGTGGCTTCTAAGCTAACCCACAGCCATCACACTAGGCCAGTGGTCGGCAAACTCATTAGTCAACAGAGCCAAGTATCAACAGTACGACGATGGAAATTTCTTTTGTTTGAGAGCTGAAAACCGACTTCTGCGCACGGGCCACGAAGTTTCCATCGCTCTGTATGTGCGCGCCGGCATGTGGTATTTTGTGGAAGAGCCACACTCAAGGGGCCAAAGAGCCGCATGTGGCTCGTGAGCCTCGGTTTGCCGACCACTGCACTAGGTGATTCCTATGTCTGTAGTCTGAGCTTTCTGCTTTTGGATTTTGTAAGCATGGGAATCTAATCTTTAGTCCCGGAGATGTCACCAGTCAGTGCATACATCCCTCCAATCGATTGATCACTGCAGGATGTAGGAGCCCGGGCAGGAATGGGGATTTGACTTGCAGATCAGGCGCTGACTATACTCCTTACTCTTACTTCAGGCCTTCTTTGATCCTTGGCCACAGAGTTACGGAAGTAGCTCCACAGAGGCGTGGTCCTGGTTCACTGGGGCCACACTGCCACAGCCCCGTTGGTTTGTTATGCTGTTGTACTTGGAGTCTCACCAGATTGTTTGGTTTCCCTTACAGGTCCCCCTCCCCCAGGAATGCACCCACCAAGACCCTAGACTCATCTTGGCCCTCCTCAGCTCCCTGCCTGTTTCCTGAAAGCCTAGCCTGTACATAGTCCTTTTGTTTCTGTGTGGCCTGTGAAACAAAGTTTCTTAATAAACTCTTAATAGGATATTATAAGTGTGCCTGGTGTTTCTGTTCAATTTTAGAAAAACCTTAGATAATAACAGGTGCTTAATCAAGTCAGGAAAGGGGTGCCTTGGAAAAATTAGCCCTAATCTTAACTGTTTGCCTTTTAAAATATTTTTCTACACATTTGCAGAAATCCACATACCAAGAAGGTTACAGAATTGAACTACAATGAGACATTTAACCTGTCAAACTGCAAAGAGGGGTTTGTTGAAGTAAACATAAACTTAGAGTGGGCTGAGACTTCGTGTGTCCTCTGGAAGGAACTCATCTAAATATTGTAGCTTCTTGAGCAGTACTTTATTTTTATTCAATAAAGTATGAAGTTAATACTAAAATTGAAAATCCTATTGATAGGAATAATTTAACTTTCTCCTAGGGTTATACATATACATGTAACCTCATCCAGTTTTTGAATTGTGGGGCCTCCTTGATTTCTACCCAAAGTCTATGGTCATTGAGCAGTAGTAATCTAGTACAGGTATAAGAGGTCACCTCTATGTTTTTTGGTTCTCGTTAATCCTCACCCACGGATATTTTTCCATTGAGTTTTAGGGAGTGGAAAGGAGGGGGGAGAGAGAGAAACATTGATGTGAGAGAAATATCAATTGGTTGCCTCCTGCATGTATCCAACCAGAGCCAGGCATCCAGCCTGCAATCGAAGTATATTCCCTTGACCAGAATCAAATCTGGGACCCTTCAGCCTGCACACTGAAGCTCTAGCCACTGAGCCAAATCAGCTAGGGCTCACCACTGTTCTTAAATTACTGTCTGTGGGGAATATAATTCTAAATATAAAGGAGAACAATGAAAAGGAAAAGATCTGCAGTAGGGGGGTTTTGTCCAGGAATGTAAATTTGGTTCAACATAAGCCATATAATAAAAGGAAAAATACATTATGAGGTCATTTCAATAAATGCAGAAAAAGCATTTGGCAAAATTTCCCAACCCTTTTATTATAGAAACAGCAAATTAAAAATAGAAGGGAACTTTTTAAACAAAGAGACTCGTAGAAACATTTTAAGATGAGCAAGGCTAGGTTGTGGCTTTGGGCACTATTTAGCTAGAGCAATTAAGGAAAAAGATCCAAATCAGGAAGAAGCAAAACTATAATTATATATATAGACAATAATTCATAAGAGCTGTTAGGACTAAGTGAATTTAGCAAGATTGCAGGGCACAAGATCACACAAAAATTAGTTGTATTTTTATATTCCAGCAATGAACAATCTGAAAAGGAAATTTTAAAAATTATAATAGCATTCAAAAGAATACCTATGAAACTACCAAGGAAGTGAAAGATTTACACACTGAAAACGTAATGTCCTAAAAGAAAGAAAATTTAAATGGAAAGGTCTCATTGAATGGCAACATTCCTTGAAGTGATCTGTAGGTTCAGTGTAATCCCTGTAAAAATTCTAATGGCTTTTGCAGAAATGGAAAAGCAAAAACAACTTTGAAAAAGAACAAAGTTGGAAGTCTCACACTTCCTGATTATAAAACTTAAGCCACTGACAAGGATAGATATAGGCACACAGAAAAGAATTGAAATAAACCCTTGCAAATACAGTCAATTGGATTTTGATAATGCCAAATCTTACTGGAAAAAATAGTCTCTTCAACAAATGGTGTTGGACAACTGAATAACCTCAAATGGTGTTGGACAACTGGATAACCTCATGCAAAAGATGACATTGACTCTGTTACTCTCTAACTCACTAACTCAAAATGGATCAACAATTGAAAAACAAGAACGAAAACTAATAAAATAATTAGAAGAAAATAGATAAATCTTCCCGACCTTGGATTTGGTAATGGATTCTTAGGTTTGACACCAAAAGCAAAGCAACAAAAGAAAGAAATGCACTTCATCAAAATTACAAACGTCTTTGCATCAAAGGACATCAAGAATGAAGAGGCAACCTGCAGATGAGAAGTTTCACAAATCTTTAATCTGGGTTTATCTAGACCAGCAGTTGCTTACCTTTTGGACCTCATGGACCACCAGTGATCTGCGGACCACCCGTTGGCGACCGCTGATCTAAACTATAAAGAACCTTTATAACTTAGAAGATGAATTTAAAACCCAATGAGTTCCTGGCCAGTGTGCTCAGTGGTTAGATTGTTGGCACGCATACTGAAGGGTCGTGGGTCAATTACTGGTCAAATCACATCCCTGGGTTGCAGGTTCTATCGGCCCAGACTGATATTTCCACTCACATTGATATTTTTGTCTTCCCCTTCCCTCCCACTGTAAAAATCAATGGAAAAAATATTCTTGGGTGAGGGTTATTAACAACAACAACAAAGCCCAATTAAAAAGTGAACAAAGGAATTAAGTTGACATTTCAAAGATCTACAAGTGGATAACAAGCACATGATTCAATATTGGTTGTTAGATCAAATCAAAACCAAAATGAGATATCACTTCACACCCACTAGGATAGCTTTAAAGAAAAAATAAATGACAACTATGTGGAGAAATAGGAGCCCTCGTGCATTACTGGTGACAATGTAGAATGGTGCAGCAACTATAGAAAACGTTTGGCGGTTTCTTTAAAAATTAAACAGAATTACCATATGACCCAGCAAATTCCACTCCTAGATATATAGCATTATTCATAATCAAAAGGTGGAAACAGCCCCGGCCGGTTTGCTCAGTGCTAGTGTCAGCCTCAGACTGAAGTGTCATGGGTTTGATTCTGGTCAGGGGCGTGTACCTCGGATGCAGGCTTGATTCCAGCACCAGTCGATGTGTCTCTCTCACATTGATATTTCTCTCTCTCCCCTTCCCACACTCTAAAAATCAATGAAAAACATATCCTCGGGTGAGGATTAACTAGAAAAAAAAAAAAAAAGAAAAAGGTAGGGACAACCCACCTGTCCATAAGTGGATGAACGGATAAACAAATTGTGGGATATACATTTAATGGAATATTGGCCATATAAGGGATGAAGTGTCCACACAATATCATTTGGATGAACCTCGAAAACATTGCAAAGTGAAAGAAGCCAGGCACCAGAGGTTACATAATTGATTCATTTTACAGGAAATACCTAGAATAGGTAAATGCAGAGAGTCAGAGCTGATTAGAAGTTACCAGGGGATGGGGATGGAGGAAACGGAGAGTGAATATGGAGTGCTTTTCTGTGGTGATGAAAAGTTTTGAAACTAGAGATAGATGGTAGTTGCACAACATTGTAAATACATTAAATACCATTGAGATCCAATAGTCAAAGTGGTTAGTTGTATGTTATGTGAGTTGGACCTCAATTTAAAAAAGAAATGTTCTTTACAGAAAGAGTTTACCAAGGCTTTTTGTGTTGGAAAGGATATTCCCAGCAGAGGAGAAGGCCTAGGAGTAGAACATCAGGTAGGCGAGCTTGGCAGCAGCTTTTGGCAGAAGTGTTAACCGTTGGTTGGCTCAGATAGTATCACAGGAACCCGTATCTTGAGCATCACAAACTGTAAAGCAGGGTTGATGTAAACCTCTGGCTAGCCGAAACCGGTTTGGCTCAGTGGATAGAGCGTCGGCCTGAGGACTGAAAGGTCCCAGGTTCGATTCCGGTTAAGGGCATGTACCTTGGTTGCGGGCATATCCCCAATAAGGGGTGTGCAAGAGGCAGCTGATTGATGATTCTCTCTCATCGATGTTTCTAACTCTCTATCCCTCTCTGTAAAAAAAAAAAAAATCAATAAAATATATTTAAAACACACACACACACACACACACACACACACACACAAAACCAAAACAAAACAAAAAAAACCCAAACCCTATGGCTAGCTTCCCAATCTGTCTGCCAGGTGTTACCCACAAGAGTTTTGTACTTCTAGCCTAGAGGGATGAGGGCTGGGAAGGCAGGGACTCCACACAAATAACAAGAATAAATCAACAAAGGGAAAATGTAGTCACCTATTGCCTAGTGGTTAGCAGAGAAAAAATCCCAGATGCTCAAAACTATTCTTGAAAATTGATGGAAACTCTTTGAAGTATTGTCTATGTGGTTCTGTGTATACAACCTTACATAGGAAAATCTTTGACACACTTGCTTTTAAATCATTGACTAAAGAGAAAGAACAAAGGGAAAAGTGTACAATCAGACATCGGGATTCGATGGTATATTTAAGATAACTCCTAAATTTAAGATAAGTCCCTAAAGGAGAAAGAGGTTCGAGTGGAGAGTTCCAATGTGCTTTGATTTGCTTATAGACTTTACTCCAGTCCAGTTTTCATATAAGCTTCTATCAAATTAGTTCAGTTAGTAAATTGGTCTGTGTCTGTAATGACTAAATGAGATAGCAGAGTATAAAGGCATCCAGTTTGCTGCTGAATCCTGCTTGGTCAGACCCACATGGGTACATTTCATAATTTATGTATTCTGCTTTAAAAATACTTTATTGTGTAAATGTTCACTAAAGAATAACTATGGAAAGAAAATAGAGTCCCAACACTCCAAACATTCAATGTTAGCCTTTGTCTACTCATTGGGTTTTGTGATCTTACTATATACTCAACTTTCTATTTTTTTCCAAAAATATACATTTTTATTGATTTCAGAGAGGAAGGGAGAGGGAGATAGAAACATCAATGATGAGAGAGGTCCATTGATAGGGTACCTCCTGCATGCCCCCTCACTGGAGGATTGAGTTATAATCTGGGTATGTGCCCTGGTCAGGAATCGGACCCTGGTTCATAGGTTGATGCTCAATCATTGAGCCACACTGGCCGGGCTGTATTTATTTTACCATCAAAAACATCTTGGGCCTTGACAGGTTTGGCTCAGTGTATAGAGAGTCAGCATGCGTACTGAAGGGTCCCGGGTTCGATTCTGGTCAAGGGCATGTACCTTGGTTGCAGGCACATCCCCAGTAGGGGTGTATAGGAGGCAGCTGATAAAAAAAAAAAAAAAAAAAAAAAAAAAAATATATATATATATATATATATATATATATATATATATATATATATATATATATATGTTATTGATTTTTTACAGAGAGGAAAGAGAGGGACAGAGAGCTAGAAACATCGATTAGAGAAACATCGACCAGCTGCCTCCTGCACACCCCCCACTGGGGATGTGCTCGCAACCAATGTACATGCCCTTGATCAGAATCGAACTTGGGTCCCTTAAATCTGCAGACCGATGCTCTATCCATTGAGCCAAACTTGTTTTGGCAGGAGGCAGCTGATTGATGTTTCTCTTCCAGAGCTGTTTCTAACTATCCCTCTCCCTCTCTGTAAAAAAAAAATCAATAAAATATAGATCTTTGCAAACATTTTAGTGACTTTAGTATCTCATTAAGTGAACATACCACTGTTTACTTCACTAATTCTTGGCAGTTGGACATTTAGATTAGTTTTCCACTCGCAGATAAGGGGATGACCATATTTTTGCATAAAGATCATTCTATATTTAGATCATTAAGAAAGGAATTTTTGAGTAAAAGGATGGAAACGTTTTAATTAACTTTATTTTTTTAAAAAATATATTTTATTGATTTTTTACAGAGAGGAAGGGAGAGAGATAGAGCTAGAAACATCGATGAGAGAGAGTCATCGATCAGCTGCCTCTTGCACACCCCCCACTGGGGATGTGCCCATAACCAAGGTGCAGGCCCTTGACCGGAATCGAACCAGAGACCTTTCAGTCCCCAAGCCGACGCTCTATCCATTGAGCCAAACTGGTTTCGGCTTAATTAACTTTCTTAAACTTTGAGTCAATTTGCTCTGTTACTAAACAGACACAGCTACACTTTTTACAACATGGTCCTCAGAACTGATAATTGTCATTAAGAAGAAATATACTTTTCTATTTTGGCAACTGAAGTGATATATGATATCATTGTGTTCTCTTTATTTTGAAGAAGGGATTTAAAAAAATTTGTATTCTTTTGTATTTTGTGTTAAAAATTTTGGGCTAGATAACTTTTCCATGTTATTACGTGTCTTCATAATGATTACTAGTGTATATCTAGTGAGTATAACATAACTCAGTCAGGGAATTTATATTATTTCTGACTTTTCATGATTACAAATCAGGCAGTAATAAGTATTTTCTGTGGAAGTGTTTTTTTCTTTGGAATTTCTAAATTTTTAGGAGCCCTATTTATGATTCAAAGGCAGGCACTGGAAAGAAGGACCCTCATTCACTGAATCCTGGTGAATGCATAAATTACATTCAAGGAATTGGCCAGTGTGTGCCTGTGGGGAAAGGAACCTAACTTGAGGGGAAAAGAAATGAAAGGGAGAATTCCCATTGAATGCCGTTTAGAACTTTAAAAATGTTGAGCGACGTGAGAGCATTACTTAGTTTAAATACATTTTAAAAATAAAAATGGTGAAATAATGAATGTACTAAAAAAAAAAAAAAAGATAAATCCACCAGGAGGCAGCATTGCTCTGTCAGTAAGAAGGAAGCAGCAATAGGCTTTTATCACAAGTGCTAGAAAATGTGGGTATTTTTTTCTTCCTCGCTTTCTGTATTGTTCTAATTTTCTATACAGACCTATACATAAATAAAATACGTGTTATTTGAGGAGGTGCCAAGCCCTGCCCCTCTTTAGCTGTGGGGCCCTATTTCTATATTTGTGCATATATTCATAAAAGTAGGAGTTACTGAGGCGGAAGGAGGCTACATTTAAAATGTTAATAGAGCCAAAACCGGTTTGGCTCAGTGAATAGAGCATTTGTCTGGGGACTGAAAGGTCCTGGTTTTGATTCCGGTCAAGGGCATGTACCTTGGTTGCGGGCACATCCCCAGTAGGGGGTGTGCAAGAGGCAGCTGATCGATGATTCTCTTTCATTGATGTTTCTAACTCTCTCTTCCTCTCTCTTCCTCTCTGTGAAAAATCAATAAAAAAATATTTAAAAAAATAAAATGTTAACAGATATGCCAAATGGCCCTCCATAAACAGGCACACGGGTGCCTCTTTGTCACATCCTTACCAACACAGTGTGTTAGGACATTGTTAGATCTTGTTCGATCTGATAAATTAAAAAATATATCTTTGTTCTAAAGAGTATGTCTTTATGATCATAGTTTTAGTATGTCTTTATTTTTCTGTGGACTGCTTTGCCCACTCGAATGAGGGCAGGGGATTTGTCCACACTGGCCCATCTTATTGTGCTCAGGGTGCAGGGCTGCGGTGAGGGTCCTGCGAGAGGGCCAGGGCTTATATGACTTCAACTCCCCTTACGTGCCTAGAGAGGGAGCCCACAGGCTTTCTTTACGGGCTTGAAAGCTGTCAGCAAACCAAAGAAATGAAGTCAGACATAGTAAGGTTAGCATAGAGGACGTTGTCAACAAATATTTGCTATTGTTGTTCTTGAGTCTTTCAATTATAACTTTGTAAAGAGAGTTTTTAAAAGAATATATATAGCATTAGAATATATGTGTGTGTTTTTTCAGGATCGAGAGCTATAGTTATGGGTCTCGGCTGCCCTTAGGAATAACCTGGCTTGTCTTTGCTTCTTTCAGGGTCCCAGGTTCAGTGTTTTGCATGGAGTCAAAGAAAGAACAGGTCCATTTCCAGAATGGCTCATACTGCGGGCCACGTGAAGCACCAGGCACTTCATATATGTAAAAGCAGGGGATGCTAGCTGACACGAGTGAAGGACAATATCCCTGGGATGCGGTGAGGAGGTTGGGTAGTAAAGCTGAACACAGGCATAGCCTGTGATCCAGCAGTTCCATTTGTAGACATCTGCCTCACAAGTGCTGGCATATGTTCACAGGCATGCATAAGAATCTACAGAGCAGTTTAATGCAGAGTAGCTCCAAAATGGAGACTACCTGAATATCCATCAGCAGTAAAGTGGACAAATATTATATCCACACACTGGAGCACATCATGGAGTATGAAAGATCTGCAGTAACACAGCAATGTGGATGAAAGGCCAGACACAAAATGCCTACTGTGTAATGCCATTCGCATAAAGCACACAAACTAATATTCGCTTTACAATTGGGGTTTCATTGGGAGCAGGCACAAAGGGAGTTTTTAAGTTACTGGGAATGTTCTATTTCTTGATCCAGGTGCTGGTTACCCAGTGGGTTGAGTTTATAAAAATTCAGCAACCTGCTCTCTTTTGATATTAACACACTTTTGTATGTATGTTAGCCACTATGCAAATTTAAAAATCCTCTTTGGAGAAAAATCTAAAAGGAAATTTATCATCTTGTGAACTGTGGCAGTGTCTAGGAGATGAGATTCTGGCTAGTGTTTCCCTTCTCTTTCTTTATGCTCCTTATCTTCATTCGTTTGTTCACTCATTCATTCATTCATTCATTCATTCAATATTTATTGAATACTACTGTTTTATTCAGCTCTGCTGGGCAATACACAGAGTAAGCAACATGTAATTCTCTGTGCTTGATGAGCTTACATTCTATAAGGTGGCGACAGACAACAAATAAACATGCAAATAAATTATATCAAACACTAATGATTGCTATAGAGAAAAGAAAATCAGAAAGAGGAGTTGCAAAGTGCTATGCTTGCTATTTAATGAGAGCGGTCCCACTGATAAAGGCCCTGCTGATAAAGAATACTTCGATCAGAATCCTTTTGCTTCCAGCCATGCAGATATGGTTGGGGGGTGGAGAAACAGGGCTCCCCGTACAGCAACTGCAAAGGCACTGCGGTGGAGCCATGCTTTACTTTTCAGAGAAAGTCTAGATCATGGTGCCAGTTATTGGTGTATTGCATCTTAGCCCCAAATCCCCCCTTCAGTGCTTGCTCTGAGGCTAAAATATTTTTGTCCCTTGGTACGATGGGCAGGTTTGTCTGCAGAGGCTGCTGGAGAGACACCGCAGGAAGGGAGGGCTCTCTTCCTGGTTCTAGCGTGCTTTCAGCAGGCTTCTGCAAGGGGAGCCCTGGGGCCTTGGGCGGGAGATGGCCTCTTTAGCACCAGGTCCTGCAATGCACAGTGGCCATCAGCACCCAGAGTCCAGAAGCTCCCTCCTTCCCCGCACCCATCTCAGGCAGTTTTGTAACAGTTCCTCTGGGAGAGGCCTCACCAGGAATGGCTTTCCCTGGCAATCTAGAGGGCAGATTTCCAGCAACTTTCACTGGGGAGCACCACAGGTTCTGCCACCCATTGAGGCACAGCACACACTCTCCAGCAAGGCCTGTTTGTCAACCTTGCTGGGGAGTGGGGAGTGGGGAGTGGGGAGTGGGCTTTTCTTTGGCTCTATCTCAGCCCCAGGAGTAGTAGCTGCTCCTCGAACATGAAATTCCTACGTTATTTGGAGTTCTTGATATTTCTTACAAGCTAATGGCCCATTACTCCATCACCCTGTTACAGTCAATAATTGAACTAGAGGCCCAGTGCACGAATTCATACACTTTGAAAGGAACTGTGGGCTTCGAGGCTGCAGGTAGGCACAGGGGCAGGTCTCCGCTCACCCTCCGAGACCCTGCCTGGCCCCTCCAGCTGCACCCTCCCACCTTCTCTCTGCCAGCAGTCTTGTTCCTGCTGCTGCCTCCTCCATGTGATGATTACTCCATGTGCCGGCCCCACTTGCACCTGCTGTTAGTGCTGAGTGATCAGGACCAGCGCCAGGCGCCAGCAGTGGGTGTGAGCAGCCGCTCCAGTGCCGGCTCTGAGTGAGCAGGGCCAGCGCTGGCAGTGGGTGCGAGAGTGGGCTGCTGGCCCCGATCACCCCTCAGGAACAGAGGGAGATGGAGAAGCCCTGAGGGGTGATTGGGGCTAGTAGCCACCACTCACACCTGCTGACAGGGCCGAGTGTCAGGTCCAGTGCTGGGTGCTGGCAGCAGGTGAGAGTGGGGCTGGCGCCGGCAGCAGGTGTGAGCACCAGGAGGGACTGCAGTGCGAGGGAGCAAAGAATTTTTAGAAACAACCAGAGGCTTGCCCTGATGACAGTGACCAATGCCCGCCTTCGTCTGGCGCCCTGCTCACCTGCTCCACCATCCCGCCACGGCTGATGCCCGCCCACCATGTTCTGTGCTCTGCTGCCTGTTGCTGATGCCTGCCATGTTCCATGAGCACCCCTCTGGTGGTCAGCACATGTCATAGCAACCATTTGTTTGGTTGTTCGGTCTATTTGCATATTAGGGTTTTATATATATAGGTGTTCTCTGTGCAGGTTACTGCATGGTGTCTGTCTCATAGGTAGACCTGACTGAGACAGTCACTGTGGCTCTAATGAGCAGATAAGGAAGGGGATGACAGGCAATGAAGTTAGAGATCAGCAAGGGGTCATTTGCTTTTGCTCTTGGTGAGATGGGATGTTCGTGGAGAGGATTTGAGCAAAGGAATGATATTATGTGACATATTTTTTTAGGTTCCTTCTGATTGCCTAGATTAGAAGGGACAGAGGAGAAGCAGGAGAAGGAGGAGGGTGCTCAGTGAGGAGGCTACTGCAATAGTCCAAGCAAAAGGCTATGGTGGATCAGGTAGGGATTAGTGGTGGTGTTGAGAGGCAGATGGACTTGGTGAATATTTTGAAGGTATAACTGATAGGATGTGCAGTTAGATTTAATGAGGTGAGAGAGAAACCGGAATAAAGGATAATTTCAAGGTTTTTGACTTGGAGAGCTGGAAGTAGGGAGGTTCTGTGTACAGTGGGAGGGGATGGGAATAAGGGATTCATTCTGAGATGTAGTAAGTGTGACACACCCAATTGAGAAGCATGATTTAAGAAAATCTATCAAACTTCAGTAAGAACAGTGGGAACCCATGGCATGCTAGCCTAGAGCTATTCCCCTCACTTTACACCCTTTTCAGCTCTAGTCCTACCAGGGCAAGGCAGGCCAGGAGGACTTAGCTCTGCTGCTGACGGGGATCGAGTTTATTGGAGAAGAGTGCAAAGGATTCCATGCTTGGATGTTAGGTAGGATAAGGTCTCAAGGTCTAGGCAGTTCTAAATGTTATTACTAAATGTTGTTCTTATTAGATGTTAAAGCATAGCACAGTATTTTACAGACCAGCTGTAAACAGGATGAGCATGACAGCAACCCAACCAGATAAATGTACCAACTACAAAGAAGAAATCAATGTGTAATTAACCAAATAGTGTTTATAAGCAACGGCTAAGCCTCCCTTCGGAGAGACAGAGCTTTGGATATAAATGCCCTGTCTCCTTTATTTGCTGCAAGTAAATTCACTACCTTGTGACAACTACATTTTGGTCTTAAAAAGTGCACCCAATGCAGGGGTGCTATTAAAAACAATAGCATTGCCCTAGCCGGTTTGGCTCAGTGGATAGAGTGTGGCCTGCAGACTGAAAGGTCCCTGGTTCGATTCCAGTCAAGGGCATGTGACTTGGTTGCAGGCACATCCCCAGCAGGAGTTGTGCAGGAGGGAGCTGATCGATGTTTCTCTTTCGTCGATGTTTCTAACTATCTCTCTCCCTTCCTCTCTGTAAAAAAAGCAATCAAATACATATTTAAAAAAAAACCACACACACACAAAACAAATCCCCCCACAAAAACAATAGCATTATCAGTGGCAAACAATCAGAGGCCACTGTCGTGGCTAACTTAAGGTCTCCATGCTGATGGGGCAGGCCCTCATCCAGACAGAGCAGCTGGGAATTTAACCAGGGACATCTGGGAGGTGGGTCTTGCCAAGATCCTACTTATCGCTGGTGGTCTGGAAGACTGTGCTCATGCCCAAGGCTGTGAGCACCTAGGAGAGACCAGAGAGGACACAGCAGAACATGAGATCGTGTGAACATAAACTGTAAAAGATGGGTCCCGCTTGTAGACTGCCTGGACTTTGAATGCACTCCTGAAACTACCCACAGATTCATCAGTAAAGGTGTTTAAGCACTATCTCTGACTAATCACATGCTAACCCAGGGTGGCCCTCTAGGAAATCAGGCTTAAAATGAAAAAACAAGAATCAAAAAACAATCAGCCCTGGCCAGTGTTCCTAAGTGGTTAGAGTGCCGGCCTGCATATCCAAGAGTCATGGGCTCAATTCTTGGTCAAAGGCATGTGCCTGGGTTGCAGGTTCAATCCCGGGCCCTGGGGTATGTGCAGGAGACAACCAATCAATGTGTCTCTCTCCTTCCCTCCCTCTCTTCACTTTCTAACATCAATGGAAAAAATATCCTCAGGCGAGGGTTAACAAAAACAAAAACAAAACAAAACAAAACTAGCAAACAAACAAAACCCCCTCAGAAGCCACCTGCCCGGTGTTCCTGGTGACACAGGACCTGGCGGAGAAGCTGAGGCTGCTCGCTAGGAGGAGGAACTCCTCTGGAAGAATATCCTGAGGCTCTCGCGCACACACTGCACTGCCCACCAAGCCTGGCGAAGAGTTCTGCCACTTTTGCTGCTTGGCTGGTGAACAAAGCAGGATGCCCCTTTGAGCAGCTTCAGGAATATGATGACCCCAGTGCAACCATACCTAACGTATTATCTGAGCTCTGATCCCTTGGGAAAACTGTAGATTTTCTTTCTTCAAAATTAAAGTTGGGTTATGGAGAGCCTATATGCTGTTCTCGGTTGTTTAGTTGAAGATGCATTAAAATATATTGGTTTCACCTGGAAAAAAACCAGCATGCATGGAGGAGAGGGCCCTGGTCAGATCCAGCTTTTATATCTTCCCCTGGGTAACTGGGCTGGGAAAGCAGACCCCCACAGCATGACAGAGCTGAGGAACCCAGAGGTTCACACTTCTCACATACTTCTGCCCAGCTACCTCAGAGGGGAAGGGAGGTGAGCTCAGACCCGTGGTCCAGCTGACAGGTCCTGCTTACCCAGTGACTTTAAGTACCGGTACACCAGAGCGGTGTGTGGGTTCCCACTGGAGAAGCTCAGATGTGGATGAGAAACACAAAACCAAGGTCTAGAGCTCGATCTGGCTGGGGTCGGATCAACATCAGATCTCAGGATAAGGCTGGACGAGGGCTGGGCGTGGGATCAGAGCTCAGACCAGGATCAGGTTCTGTTCGGAATGAGGACTCAGCTTGAGTTCAGGGCTCAATCAGAGATCAGGATTGGAGTTCAGCCGTGGATCAGGACGTAGCCTGAAGCCAGGATGAGGGCTCAGTCTGCAGTCAGGACTTAGGTTGAGGTTGGGATGAGAGCGTAGTCCCGGGTAAGAACTTAGTTTGAGGTTGGGGTTGATCCCCAGGCCACCTCTCAGTCAGCATCTTGCACCCTAGACTCCATCTCAGAGACAGCTTTCTGGGAAGCTCAACCTGCGACAGCTGAGTTTGAAGAAGATGGGCATGGTGTTTGCTGGAAGAATGAGGATCTGGGGCCATCACCAGGGGAGACCATCTCAGTCTCCCTGCTGAAAGGATTGTTATTTTGGACCAAAGTGGGAGATCACCTCCGTTGTCTTCAGCCCTCAGTGCCCCTTCTTACTGCTGAACCCTGAGGAAGTGGCTGTCTGCTCTGAACCTCCAGCTGTCCCTCTCACAGGGGACCGGCATCCAAACCAGGCGTGGGAAGGGAGTCTGAGAGCTGAGGCAGCACGAGGGTCTGCATCCACTCATCTGGGTTCTCTCAGCTGTCCCCATGCTGTGTAGAATCATCAGTGAAATGCCTTCACGGAGGCCTTGGCCACAAGGATCATCCATCAAAGACTGTCCATGCATTTGCCTGACCCCTTTTTGAAAAGATCCACTATATAATTGTTCCCACTTGAGTTTGCTTCAAGGAGGTGTCTCACTGTATATGAGCCTGCTTTGTTGCTGTTGCTCATACTTAAATGATGTCAAACACACTCCAAAGAGTCAAGAGGCTCTGACTAGAAATAAAATAACAAAGATTTATTCAAGGGTCTTACAATTAGTAAACTAGAAACACAACTCAGAACATTCAGAGTGTTCTGAAAGGGGGGTGGGGGGTGAAGCTGAGGGTTCCTATAGTAAAAAGTACCTTCTTGAGAAGAATCAGTCCTCTATTCTTAACCTATGGGTTGGTCTGAGATGGTAATTTTTGTATGTCCAGTGATCTGGACAATAAAGCAATTTCTTCTCAAACTCACTTAGATAGTCAACCAGAAGGTATGATGGATAGCCAGGCATTGTTGTACAATGACCTGATGTGGGTCCAAATATTCATGCAGGACTGGAAAGTTCAAAAGTTTAAATTCCCAGGATAGAATAGAATTGCCCTAGCCAGTTTGGCTCAATGGATAGAGCGTCGGCTTGCAGACTGAAAGGTTCCGGGTTTGATTCCCATCAAGGGCACATGCGCAGGTTGCAGACTCAATCCCCATTAGGGGGCATGCAGGAGGCAGCTGATCAATGATTCTCTTTCATTGTTGATGTTTCTCTCTCTCTCTCCCTCTCCCTTCCTCTCTGAAATAAAAAATACATTAAAAAAATACAGTTGTTTCCTCATGCTTCAGTCTACTTTATTTTAATAATTTAGTAGCATGACCATTGTGACTCCATTTTATTCCTTCACTCTAGTCTTCAGTTATATGATTAATTATCATTCCTTTGACTGTGTAGAACATTTTGGAGCTGATTTTCATGTCTGGTGTAGTTATCTTCAGAACCTGGAAGTCTTCACGCTGGTCCTCATCCCACGGGTCTCCGTCCTGTTTGATGCTAGGAGTGCGACTGTGCATCGGTAAGCTGCTCGGAGATGCTCTGCAAAGTCAACACTATCCTGGTTCCAAAGGAGTAAATTAGCACTGGGCTGGTTGCATGAGATCATTTATGACCATAACTGGATCAGATTTGGGGCTGAATACCCAAATGTAACCCAGTCTTAATGGCTCCTTTTCCATCTTCAGCTTCTTCTAGGCACAAGTAACCCGTCATATTCTGGGCCTGTGTCTTCATTGAGAGAAAATCTCCCATCCCTTCAAATCTAATGCTCTTTAGGAACATGACTATGGGGTAACAGAGAGTGTAAATGGCAAGTCTGTGGTCAAGGCTCTTCACTCTATGTAAAATGGGAATGTTAAGAAATGTTTAGGTTTCAGCTTGAAAACTTTGGGGTTTTTTGTAAGAGCCAGGAGGAGAGTCTTGGGTCTGGATGTGGTCAGAGCATTGAAGAGCTAAGAGAGAAGCAATGAGAGCCAGGAGTCAGCCAGGGTGCCGGTGACCTGTCTGCCAGGAGGTGGCAGTGCCGGGTGGATTGGGGTTACTCTGATGCTTGGTCTGTCAGCCTCCAGCAACCAGGGTGATGAGATGAAGATGGGAAAGGCTCCCTACACAATCCACCATTGCCCAAAAGCTTAAGGATTACTGAGTCTAAGACCTCATTTTACAGACAGGAAACCAAGGCCCAAGAGGGGAAGGGTCTTGCCCAAGTTCACAGAATGGGGCAGAAGCTGAAGCAGGACTTGAACCCAGGGCTCCTGGCTTCCACATGGCAGAGGCAAAAAGGTGGATGGGAGAGGCACGAGAGCCACCGCCTCCGCTCTCACCCCCTTGTGGCCCATCACTTGGCTGTGGCCACGTTGATGATCACAAAGCCCTTGATGTCTGAGAACTGGGGGCTGACAAAGTCCACCTGCAGCTGCCTTAGGCCACTCTTGGAGGGGGTGATGTGGAACTGGACCAACGCCCTCTCCTGGGGCTCCAGGCTGGGTACACTGGGGAAAGGGGAAAGGAGAAAAGCAGACCATCAGCCCTCTCCCGTTCCTCAGCTGTCCTGCCAGTCCGTGGCTCTCCAGAAACCTCAAGATCAAGGTCACACTAGCAGCTTCTCTATAGCCTATCTTATAAGAATGGCAGCCCTCCCCCTATACTTCCACCCTCCCCAGGCTGGTACTTACTCAATGGTGAGCTGTCCCTGGAGAAGGCCACTGCCCTCTACCATCAGCATACCGTCTTCTACTTTTTCCAAGAGGGGGTTGACCACCAGCACTTCCACTACAACTGCTACCCCCACCATGGCCGGGCCCAGCACCTGGAGGGGCAAAACCCATAAAATCATCCCTTCTCATTTTCATTTCCCCAGGAAAATCCATGGTCCTGGTGGGTCAGAGAATGGGGCAAAATCGTCTCTACCCCTTGCTTTCACACACCCAGTTACCTAGCTCCATCATTATATCCAGCCCCCTGCATCCATGCCATTTCTCCCACTCTTGAGAGTCGAAGCCAGAGCCAAAAGCACACATGCACACACACACACACACACACACACACACACACACACACACTCTCCAGCTTCTCATTTCTTCCCACAGCTTGGCCAGGAACAGGGTGGTGGATGCAGACAGGGGTCACCTTGATGGTGATGAAGTCCTCCAGAGTAATGTCCTTTTCTACCAGGAGCTTCTCTCCTTTGGTGACAAGGCACATGGCAGCCAACAGGATCTTTTTGTCCTCTGTCAGGTCTTCCTTATATTGAGAGTAAGATATTGTGATTGGGATCTTTTTCTCTGGAAGGGAAAGCAGAGGTGGGAATTGGGAATCCAATGTTCTTTTTCAACGGGACCCAGAAAGAGGAAGAGAATGTTCAATTCATAGTTATACCCTTTCTGGTCCTTGCAATCAACTGGAAGCAGGCATTATCATGATCAGTTCGCAGATGAAGACACCTAAGGCTCAGAGAGGGTAATTTCTTGTCCAATGTCAACTGGCAAGTGAATCAAGGAGCTAGATGAGGTGGAATTCAAATTCAGGCCAGTTAGCTACCATGACATCGGATTGTCTCTCTAAGTGTTTCTGGAAATGTCTTTAAACTTTCCCTAGTCATTCCAGATGGAAATCTTTCAGTTCATCAATCATTCATCCCATAAGGAATTCACTCACTGCTTGTTAAGCCCCTGCTATGTGCTAGGTGCAGAGAAGAGGGAGACCAAAGACCTGTCTCAAGCTTCTGATGGAGGGAGGAAGCCAATTTCTTCAGTTCTCCAAATCCTCCCTCCCCAGGAAGGCCCAGTCCTAACCAGCCCCACAAATAATGAAAAACCTTCACTGATACCCCCACCCAGTGATCTTGTGCTTGCTGCCTTCTAAGCTCCTCTGGTCCTGGCTACCTCTGTTTCTCTCACCAGCCACAGACACGCTATGTATTCTTTTCTTGTGAATATAGATTACCACAGGCATTATCTGACTGTCAGTCATATTTGGGCTATTTTTTGACATACATATATAATTATTACTTAGGTGTACCATGTCCTTCCAAGTTTGTTCCAGACCCTACCATCCTCTACTGCTCTATTGCCACTGCTTTCTTTATTTCCGTGTCCTCCCTGTCCCTGAGTGTTAAACCTGTGGAAACTTGGATCACACTCTCTGTTCCCCGAGAAATTTGACAAGGAGCATTTACAAAATACCTACAGCTGACAGCATACTTCATGGTGAGAAACTCAAAGCTTTCCCACTCAGATTAGGAACAAAGCAAGGATGTCCCCTCTCGTCACCCCTTTTTAACATTGTACTGAATGTCCCAGCTAAGGCAATAAGACAAGAAAAGGAAATAAAAAGCATACAGATTAGGAAGAAAAAACTTTTCACAGATGACATGATCATCTATGCACAGGATTTAAAAGAACAACAACAACAAAATCCTGGAACTAATAAGTGTTTACAGCAAGGTCACACAGAATATATGATCAATATACAATCACTTTCTTTTTTAAAAAATGTATTTTATTGATTTTTTACAGAGAGGAAGAGAGAGGGATAGAGAGTTAGAAACATCAATGAGAGAGAATCATCAATCAGCTGCATCTTGCACACCCCCTACTGGGGATGTGCCCGCAATCTTAAGTACATGCCCTTGACCGGAATTGAACCTGGGACCTTTCAGTTTGCAGACCGACGCTCTATTCACTGAGCCAAAACAATTTTGGCTACAATCACTTTCCTATAAACAGGCAATGAAGTGAGATTTGAAATTAAAAACACAATACCATTTACACAGCAGCCCCAAAAAGAAATACTTGGGCATTAATCTGACAAAATGTGTACAAGATCTTTATGAGGAAAGAATAAAACTTTGATGAAACAAGTCAAACAAATAAACAAATGGAGAGTTAGTCTATGTTCATGGATGGGAAGACCCAATATTATTGAGATGTCAGTTCTTCCCAACTTGATTTATATTTAAGGCAAACCTATCAAAATCCCAGTAAGTTATTTCATGGATATTGAAAAACTGATTCTAAAATTTATGTGGAGAGGCAAAAGATCCAGAACAGTCAACGTAATATTGAAGGAAAATAAGATCAAAGGACCAGTACTACTTGACTTCAAGATTCACTAAAAGCTACAGTAATCAAAACAGTATGGTACTGGTAAAGAGCAGACAACTACCTCAATGGAACAGAATAGATAGTCCAGAAATAGAGCCACATAAATATAGTCACAAAGGAAGTAAATGAAGAAATTATAGTTTTTTAAAAACATAATGCTGAACTAACTGGACATTCAAATACAAATAGGTAAACAAACATAAGTAAATGTAGACACAGATTTATATTCTTTATAAAAATGAGATAAAAAATAATAAGCTTAAGTGTAAAATGCAAAACTATAAAATTCCTAGGAGAAAACCTAGAGATCTTGGGTGTAGTGGTGACTTTTTAGATACAACACTAAAGGCATGATCCATGAAAGAAAAAATTGACAAGTTGGACTTCATTAAAATTATAAAATTCTGCTCTGTGAAAGACACTGTTTAGAGAATGAGAAGATAAGCCACAGACTGGGAGAAAGTATTTGCAAAAGATATATCTGATAGCCTTAACTGGTTTGGCTCAGTGGATAGAGCATCGGCCTGCAGACTGGAGGGTCCCAGGTTCCATTCAAGTGAAGGGCATGTACCCTGGTTGTGGGCACATCCCCAGAAGGAGGTGTGCAAAAGGCAGCTAATCGATGATTCTCTCTCATTGATGTTTCTAACTCTCTATCTCTCTCTCTTCCTC